GAAAATAATGCAAGGATAGAAAAAGTGTAGAAATAATTAACCCTATAGATCAGATAACTTTATATAAAAAAAAAAGGGAATGAGCAAATCTTTTACTGACCAGTCGGAAGTGCAAGAGAAGCCGCCCTACATCGAAACGTCGTCGTGCCTGAAAAGAAGTAAAAGAAAAATGACTTTTGCCTATCAGATCCATCTAGGATTGCAAACTTAACCTGCACTTTTGGAACTGGGTTTCTGTTCTCTGTACAAGCAAGTTAATTGTTATTCAAAAAAGTTAAAATTTTGAATAATACTAGTGCGTGGATTTATCATCTTTCCTGATGTAGAAAGAACTATGATATTCTCATGATTTCTTCTGCATCAGTGGGAAGATGATAAATCCAATCCCAAGCTTTACCCAACATGAATCCATCACACTCAAGTTCAAAGGAAAGGGAAAATAAAAAGTTTCATTGAAACCTATGTCGTTTTCGGTGTGGGAATATTATTTTTCGACACGTAGCTTGACAATATTTTCAACTCTATCGTTGACCCTATAAGTAATCTAATGTATTTCTAGCTTATTTTCGACCTTATTTTCAACATATATTTTCCACATTTCATAGTTTTAAATTGAAAATAAAAGGGAAAACTGTAAAATAAGTTCATGTAGTATATCAAACAAGTCAATTGAGTCCTCCTACTATTAAATCACTCAATAGTCTATAGACTATTTCGTGTATATAGAATGTCAACTAGTATGATATTTTTATTTTTATTGAACACGAATCTGATTTCAAAAATGAAATGAATATTAATTTCGATTTGTATTCAAATTTGTATAACTCTATGAATAGTTGACGTGTCATATACGAATATCGAATCGATTTGATCGTATAATTGTCTCTGAATGACAACATGAAAACTATTTTTTTTTTTACATTTCAATCTCTCTCTTTATTGAAAATTTCACATTTCAATAAATCTTTTCAGGCCACTATGATAAATCTTTGGGAAAGCGGTCAAAAATGACATTAAGGTTTTGAATGAAATTCGAATTTGACACTTATGGCCTGTTTGTTTGGGGTTAATCTAGGTTATTGAAGGTTCAATTTCTAGTTAACCCCATTTGTTTGTATTTTTGCAACAAGAACCTAGGTTATGTGTTAACCTCACTTAACTCACGAGAACCTGGAAGAACCTTAAATTGAAGAACCTCCGAATCGGGAGGTTTTAGAGGTTAAGTTCTCGTTTAACATAAAATGAGCTAGAGTACCTTCATCCAAACAACATTTATTGCATTAACCTAGGTTCACCTTCTATATTTCCAAACACTATTTTACGTATGGACCTAGGTTGACTTAGGTTAACCTAGCTTTTATTAAAACTTGGATTTATTTTATTGCACTAGGCTTACTTAATTTCACTCTATCCAAACAGAGCATTAGGTTTTACGTAGACCATATAAACACAAATTTAAACTTTTTGATTCCTTTTTAGCCACACTTTAATAACTAATGGTGTCAAATAGGACTACAAAAAACTTAATGTAACTAAATAAGAGTCCAAGCTTTTTAACTTCTAAATAGGACTTATTTTTCCGTGCCTTCCCAATTTACCCCTATCATATTACTTTGTATTACCTCTGCCTTTCAGTCAACAAACACATCCAGCCATACGATGAGGACAGCAAGGCTTGCTCGCGGAAACTTAATAAGATGAGGACAGCGCGCGGTCGCGCAGCACCGGCGGTTATTGCAGCGGCGGCAACACGTCTGAGCCGACGCTACAGAGACGATAGACATCGAGGAAAGAGATCCACTGCAGCAGCGCCGGCCAAAATCTTATGGATCTCTTCTTCTTTTTCTCTTCCTCCTCATCTCCTACTCTTTCTCCTCTTCTTATTATTTCTTTTGCGGCTCTTTTGCTCTTCGTTTCTTTTCTTCCGATTCGTCCTTAATGGCATTTGTCTCTTCTTTTTTTTCTTTCGAAGATGAACAGTCATGTTTTGATTGACCTTGTCCGCGTTATTCCAATCACTCCAGGAAGTCCAAAGCACGTGTGTTTGGTTTAAAATTTAAATGTTTTTTCTAATTCCTTTTCCAAATCTCAACTTTAGTTTGTTTTGTTTAATTTTTATATTAATTGCTTCTTCATTGTTATTTTTAATTCCTTTTAGCCATTCACTTTATTTTTGTATCATTTATATTATATTTTAACAGTCAAGGGAAAATAAACATAAAGTGTAAAGTGATGAATGTGAATTGGCTTTGTCTTGCAAATGTTGCGCCTGCTGAAAATAAAAATGTCATTAGTTTTAACAATGTCATTTTCATAATGATTGACATTCTTATGACATTGTCATTGACATTCTTATGACATTATCATTGATATTGTCATCGTGATTAATTGACATTATAACATTTTTCTGACATTGTGACTTTTTTATATAAAATTAACATTGTCATAATAGCTATTGACATTGTCATAATTACAATGACATTTTATAGTATCGACAATAACATTGCCATTGTGACATTTTCTTAACCTGGTGACATTTTCTTATACATTTTTATGACATTGTCATTGACATTGCCATTGTGTCCAGATATGTCAGGTCAACCCGAATTCATTTTGGTTCCACATTTTAAAATTTGAATCACAAATCCAATGTCACAATGTCATCAATAAAAATAATGTCACTTCTTAGCAATTTCAAATATTATTACACATTGTCAATAACAATAAAAAATTATAATGTCAATAACAACTTTTGACATTGTCATTTTCAAAAACTCTGATAATGTCATTGTTTATAGACAATTCCAACCACAATGTCAATAAAAATGTCAATGTCAATTACAATGTTAGAATCTATCAAAATGTCAAAAAATTATTACAATGTCAAATACGTAGTAATATTAATATCAATACTACAAAAATGACATTGTAAGAATGACAATGACAATGCCAATATTGCCAAAAATGACATTATTGTATTAATTATAATGCCAACATCATTATTTGAATAAAAAATAGTGGCAATCTTTATGGATTGATCACCTTGGGAGTACAAAGCCAACATTACAAGGAGTCAAGGATAATAGCTAAAATGATTATTGAGCTAATAATAAAAAGGACTCTGCCTGGCCCAAAAACATAGTCCGCAATTAACATTAAAATTAAACAAAATAGGAGTGTTACAATTTTGAAAAGAAATTAGGAAATACGAAGTAGAAAGCAACATTCGTAAAAAAAAGTAGAAAGAATATTGAGAAGCAAAAGAACGGATCTGCAATCGAGGCCAAACAAAAACATGAAGAAGACGCAAGAAACAAAACAAAAATAACATCCACGGATCGGCAATAGAACGGAGACAGATTAAAAGAGGAGAGAGGAAGAGAGGAAGATAGGAGGAGGCTACTCGCCCTTCCGTTAGCGGCCGCTCCGATGATGACTCGCACATGTGATAACGCTGGAAGGCGGCGACCGGCTAGAACAATTTCTCCGTTGATAAATTTGGTGGTCATGGCCGGCTTGGGAAGATCAAATAGATGATTAGATGGAGATGGCTGCCCGTTCCAAATACGGAACTTCCTGAAAATGGGATAAGCAAGGGTGTTTTTGTCACTCTATTTAAAATTAGTCTTATTTAGGGGTTTAAAAGTTCTAACTCCTATTTACATTCCGAGCCTATCTTTTAGTCTTATTGTGGTCTATTTCCCTCCTTTAAATGGGTCTTCCCCTTCGTTAACGCCCTTTCCACGTGAAAATCTAGCTCACATAGGTAGAGAACTAAAAGATTCAGAGAGGAACGGTAGATGCTTGCAATACAAAAATTAAAGGACATGTTTCATTTAAGGGAAAGAGAAACAAGAAACTTAAATTCACTTATAATACCATCACAAAGGGTTCAAACTTCATAATTTGGAGGATATGGTCGGGATTAGGGAACCAAATGGTCAATTTTCACAGACGATTTGCATCGGCTTGCTGGGGACGGCAAAATCTGGGTGTCTTGAACAAATTCGTGGAGGCAACGGTGCACGTACTGGCAATCGTTACAACGGTGTAACCAATTATGGAGTGGACAATTCGAAGTTTGGAACAAAGGTGGGGAAACATTTCTGGAAACAGTCTATTCCTTAGTGACAATGAAGCACCTGGGAGAGGACAAGAAATTGGTGCACAAGACTAAGAATCGGTGAGGACATGGTGACTGTCCAATGAAAACTCAAGTAAGTGTGCGATGGCCTGGGCATTGGGGCGATGAAGGGTCTTCTGGGCGGGGCATTTGGAGTATAGTGGGGTTTCCTCACAGCATTGGATATATGGGTTGTTCGCGGGAGGTTTCCGAATCTTGGCCGTGCTTTTCGGCGGCATTCAAATGAATTCTTGAAGATAACTGCACTTCTAACTGCGCAGTTATTTTCAAGAATTCATTTGAATGTCTTCCCGATTGAACTTTTAGTTCAAATTTGGTATGACTAAACTAGACTCATTGAATAAGATGCTCAAAAATTTTTATCAAAAATTCCAATGGGAACCACCCCAAATGGCGATGGCCGGAAAGAGCCTCCTAAATAAGGACTTATTTGATCTTTTTATGTTAGTACATGAGTCTATTTGCACTTTTTCCCTTTATATTTTTATTAACATTATTATTTTTATTATTCTATAACTATTTCATATTATTACTATTAATTAATATATTAAAAATATAGCAAAATCGGTTAATCCGGTTCAAACCGGAACAATCCGGTTTTTAACCGGAACCGGACCCGAAATCGAATTTATAAAATTTGAAAACCGAAAACCGGATTGATATCATCCGGATTGGGTTGGTTCCTGTTTTTCTGGTTTGAAGGGATTTGTGACCGATCCGATGGATACTCGCACCGAACCGTTCCGGTCAAAATGAAGAAACCACATTGACCAGTTAACGGGTACTGGACGGGGAATACAAGTTTTATAAAATAGTTTTTTTGTTGTTTGTTTCCATTTTCAATAGTTTTTGTTTCCATTTTCAAAATTCCAAGCCGGGTTTGTTAAACAGGACGTTGTGGTCGAAATTATTAAATTCTACACCATTTGCACCATTCCGGAAAGCTTTCCTTTTCTTGATGCTTTCCGAAATTTATAAAACTTTTCCCGAATTATAAAACTTAGCTGAAAAAGTAATAACTACCGCGTGGCAAGTTAGAGCGATTCATAAGTCCTCCATTATCATACGGAGTAACTGCCATGAATCCATATAAGTGTGTGTATGTATATGAATCCATAAATAGAAAAGAAGAACAAATTGGACTCAGAGAAGGGCAACGGAATGGGAAACTGTGTGTCTGATGTGAAAGGTGGTAAGCAGGCGGTAGGAGGCGGCGGTGATGGGGTCCACCACCTGGCCCAGGCCGTTGGCGGCGGCGGTGAGGGCAAAAATGACGCAGTGGATTTCTTCTTCCGGTCCAAGGGAATGCGCCCTCTCGGCTCCCAAATTGAGGTTTAATTGTTTAAATAAACTCTGAAAGTGATGGATTGTGTTGCAAAATACGTATCTCTTTTATGTTAAGGCCAACATTTAACATTTTTTCATGCTGAAGAAGTGAAAGCTGCTTTAATTTTTAGTAATACTACGTATTTAATTTAGTTTTAATCATTAACACATACATACGAGTATATTCTACTAAAATTTGGGACTACATGTTTTAAACACACTGAAAATTCTATTTCAATCACTACATTGAATAATTCGTGTTTTAAAAATATTTAAGTGTATAAATAGATTGAAAAATAAAACGTCAAATTGATATGTATGAAATTTTGTTAAAAAAATTATTATCCGTGAAATGACATTGCATTATAGCTATTGAGAATCTCCCGAGTTGGAAATATTCAAACACTAAAGATATTTTCTTGCGTGTTTGTGTATGTGTACCAACTTTAATACACAATTTTTAGTTTTCTTATTGCACACTCAATATGAAGTTGTTAATGTCCAAAGGCACCTCTAGTTATTTTGTATGTGTAATTCTTTTGTTGAAAACTCGAAGTGTGCATTTGCCATTTTGTTAGTCAATAGTCAAGACTCGAAGTGTTTTGAGTTTGGTCTTGGTATTTTCAACAGTTGAGTATGTGACTTTGTTCTTCGCAGCTATCTCTATCAGCCTCAAAGCTTCTTGATCGTGACATCATGTCAAAGGTAGGTTGCTCTTTTGTTCATGTACTCAGTAGTACTTTATGAACATAATTGGTGGGCACATCTTAGCTGAAGTTCTCTTGGAAATGCTCATAGCCTTTGGTTCTATTATTGCAGAGTGATCCCATGGCAGTAGTGTTTTTGAAGAAAAGAGATGGGACCCTTGTAGAAGTCGGACGTACCGAAGTGATCATGAACAATTTGAACCCTGCCTGGATTCAAAAAATTAGTATCATTTACCAGTTCGAGATTGTTCAACCATTGATGTATGTTTTTTATGTATGTCATTCTGTTTATAAAAGTAATCGTTTATAGTTAGTTCATTTATTCATTTTATTTTCAGATTTCATATATATGATGTGGATTCAAAGTACAATGATTTGCCTGTGAAGGTATGTAACGATCTTTGTAAAACCGCATTGCTGTTTTTTTTGAAGAACTACATCAAATAAGTATAATAGGCAATGCAGTTTTAGAATGAGTGTACATTTGGATTTTCCTTCAAAATGGTAATTAGGCTTTTAAATCATAGAGTAAGAATAGATACATCATTAACATCAATTTCGGTTCACAGATTCTTTTGTAATAGTAATACGGAGTAATATTTTACATAAAATGGAGTCTATGAGATTACTATAGGCATTCGATTTCATTTTATCGTTCAAGTACTAATATGGGTTTTTTACATAAATACTACCAAAATAAAACTCATTTACGTAAATATGACTAATAGTTACTACAATGTAGTGTCATAGTAACTTATGTTTAAAAATTGAGCTTAAGTTACTATGATTTCATTACTATTCTAATCACAACTCACATTTTTGAAAACAGTTTTAAAATTAGTCATAAATATGTAATTATATCTACTAATATTGTGTCCGGTGGGTTAAAGGAGTAGAAAAATAATAATTTTCCAAATTACCCCAAAGTACCCATATTAAGAATCCCTCATCTTTTTTCTTGTTTTTTATCCTTTTATCCTTATATATAAACATTATTTTTATCCTTTTTACTTTATCATTTTTAGGTATATTCATCTCTTTTTATATTACCCCCTTTGTCCCATTTTATAAGATACCTTTACTATTCACTTGGTCAACACAAATCACTTTTAATCTCTTACTTTATATATCAAAATTTTATGAAATTTGAATTATTTTTGCAGGTTTTGTAGCGGTTTTAATGTAGTTTCTGAATATGTAATTTTTTTTCCTAAAAATAATTTGAGTGCAGACACAGATCTGTTTGCTTTATCGTCGGTCAAACATCGTAAACCGAAAAGTATCTTATAATTTAGGACGGAGGGAGTATCTTTTTTATAATAGCTTATCTTTTTTATCTTTATTTTCTTTCTTTTCCTTTTGGTGGTGATAACATGTATCGATTCATGTTAGCCGACCCCAATATCTTTTGGGACTAAGGCTTGGATGTTGTTGTTGTACCCATATTAAGAATAGTTCATTTTCCTGTGGTTGATGTGTTGGTTAAGAGTGTTTATAAGATAATAAGAACCCCCGGTTTTTTAAAAAGATCACAGATATGTATACATAAATGGAGTTAAAGCATGAGCAACATATGCAACATTTCTTAATTTGACTCCATTTTGCCATTTGCTAGTTTCTGTGTGTATAGAACTGTTGCATCAAACAAGTTTTTAAGTTTTGCTGTGATTTTGAAAACCCAAAACATATCATACACACAAATAAATTTGAATACACAATGCAAGTTTGCTATCATGCTGTTATGACCTTGGTGTTACCTTGCAGGCACTGAAGTTGAAGGATCAAGATTTCCTTGGTGAAGCCACTTGTGTTCTCTCTGAGGTGAGTTGCTTGAGTAGAAAAGGGTAACTACTCTCTAAGGCACTATACTATTGTTTAGCATGCATGAAGTTTGTCTTAAGCTGATTGACACTATTCAGGTTGCTGAAATGAGGAATAAAGTAGTAGTAGCCTGTGGGATTGTTGACTTTCCTCTTTTGGCATAATGGCATGGGATGAAGATTCTCATTTTTGCTTATTCTCCCATTGACTATCTCAGATTGTGACCAAACCGAATCAGCAGTTAACATTGAATCTTCATCATAGACGTGGGCGTGGCTCAAATAACTTGGGCACGCTTACAATCCATGCAGAAGAAACAGTTGTTTCGAGGAGTGCAGTGGAGTTAACACTAAGGTGTACAAATCTCGAAAAGAAGGACATATTCTCCAAAAGTGTACGCATGAGATGGATTTCAGTTTTCTATTATTTGTAGCCTTAATTTGATGAGCATGACTTACTATTTACTAGACCCCCAATGCGAAAAAGGAACATTGGGTATGGTGCCCTTTCTTATCTCGCTTTATTATTATTTCTGTTTTAATATTTTAGGATCCTTTCTTGAGAATATCTAGGACTGTTGAAGGCGGAAGTTCTATTCCTATATGCAAGACAGAAGTTCTCAACAACAACTTAAATCCCATATGGAAGCCAGTGAGTTTATCTCTGCAACAATATGTGAACAAGGTACATGTCGCTTTTCTGAGTATTAAATTGCATCTATCTCACCATAAAAGGATCCTCATGAGGTGTGGTTTACCTCATATTCTTATACAATAGACACAGATCCGTAAAACATCCGATGTATGACACTTTAAGATGTCCATTCAGACATTCAGTCCAAACTGATAAATGGGCCAAACTGACCCAGACTGGCTACCTCAAACCATAGTTCCCAACAAACAAACAAACAAACCACATTTGTTTCTTTTCAGATTCTAGAATTATGTGTGTATGAATATGTAGTTATTCTACTTGTAAAGGCTTTCTTTCTCATCTTGAGATCTAGTTCAAAATTTTGTGTGAGCTTGTTACCCACGAGACATGTCATATAGTCAACCCTGTGCGTTTACTATTAGGTAAAATTTGAAGCCATCTTGAGATAACAAAATGAATGCTACGTTGCTACTTTTTTTTTGACAATTGCTACGTTGCTACTTAATTATGTACATTCTGCTAATTGGTGCTCCCCTTATCCACTTCAAATTGTAGTTCATAAGGTTTATATTTGTTGTAGGATAACCTTCTAACCATTGAGTGCTTTGACTTCAACAGAAGTGGCAATCACATCCTCATTGGGTATGTAGTGTCTCGAACATCAGCGGGCTTTTTTCTTGGTCCAAAAACTTTTCCTGATCCCTTTGATTTTTAGTATTCATGGTATACTTCTCACACCATGCAGAAAATTGCACAAGACAGTGGCAGAGCTTCAAGATCTTCACAACAGTAAAGCTGGAGCTAATCTTATCTCACCGCCTTCTGGTTTCAGGAAACAAGAAAAGGTTTTAATTACATCTGCCTTTTTTCTTTTACTTGTAGAGTCTTTGCCTTGACTGTAGTATCTGACTCACCACTGTTAAATGTTCAGCTTTTGAAGGGTCAACTGTTTGTGGAAAATTTTACTGAGAAGAAACTCTACAGCTTTCTTGATTACATTTCTAGTGGATTTGAGCTCAACTTTATGGTTGCTGTTGATTTTACTGGTATTGCCTTTCATGTGTGTCAATATTGTAAATGCACACATACACACATGCATACATGCACATACCTTCAAACGTACATACACAAGTACACGCATAAATACATACATATGTACATACACACATACATACATAAAATCTTTTAATGTTTTTGTGTTATGTGGTGTTCTATAAGAGTTCTTTGATCCAACTTTACATCCCCAGCTTCAAATGGAAACCCTCAGACACCCTATTCTCTACATTATATTGATCCTTCAGGAAACTTAAACTCTTACCAGAGGGTAAGCGGGATTTCATCTTCATAATAAACTGTTATCATTTCGATGTAATGGGAACTTTTTATTGGTGGACATAAATTTATTACCTGCCGGAATTACTTCAGGCCATAATGGAGGTGGGAGAGGTTATACAATTCTATGATTCTGATAGATGTTTTCCTGCTTGGGGGTTTGGTGGAATGACAAATCCTGGATCAGTGTCTCATTGTTTCAGTTTAAATGGAAATCCAAGTGCACCCGAGGTAAAAGTGCCTATTCTATGAGATTAGAGAATACAAATTTCCCAATTTCCATTCCCTTTATCTTCATGCAAATGTTTAATGCATTTCAGTCATTCAACTTCTTGCTATGCTTGTCTTCGACCTTATGAATACATTTATTTTATTTTTCTCCTTTAAGACAAAAAACCAAATTGGTTGTTATGCAAATAAAAAAACCATTAAACAATTAATCATACTATGAATCATAATTCATAAATGTCATGATACCAGTTCCATCACAGTTGAGCTAAATTACCTAGATTTTAATCCGAATGCTAATAGTTTTATGGGAGACAGCAAAACCTGATTTGTGCAGTTTGAAGTCTACGTTTTAGGATCATTTTAGTAAGAACTTTTGCATAAACTGTTTCATGCATTGAGCTTTTGCACGATTTTCTTTCCACAGGTTCAAGGTGTAGAAGGGATAATGAACGCTTACTCAAGTGCTATGCACAATGTAACTCTTTCTGGACCCACCTTGTTTAGCCATGTTATTAACAGTGCCGCAAATATTGCAGCTCAGTCCCTCAAGAACACCCAAAACAAATATTTCGCCTTGCTAATTATCACGGTATGCAGTGGGGGGGGGGGGCAATCAGTCTGCTTTCAAACCATCCACTACCAGCAAAACCGTCATGTTTTTTCTGCTTTTGTTAATCTAATACCTATATACCTGTGTTACGTTTTTCATCTAATAGGATGGAGTTCTAACTGATCTTCAAGAAACTATAAATGCTATTGTAAGGGCATCTGACCTACCACTTTCAATTCTTGTCATCGGAGTTGGCAATGCAGATTTTACACAAATGGAGGTACACATAGTCTTTGTATTTCTCGGAACTCTCAAATGCAGATATTTTATCTACTTAGAAAAAACAAAAGTTATGGTATTTGTGTTTTTCATATGAAATGATAGATTCTTGATGCTGATAATGGAAAACGACTCGAGAGCTCCACGGGAAGGGTAGCTACAAGAGACATTGTGCAGTTCATTCCCATGCGCGAAGTGCTTGGTAAGTGCATCTAGATGAAACATCTCTCTGCAGCATCAAAATATTCACTTGTAGTCCCACTCACAGATGGGTTGTAGATTTGATGGCCTTTCATCAAGCCAATAATGCACCCTCCTACTGGTTCCAGATAAGGATGGAACCGCAACTTTAACTGGGTAAACCGGTTCCAACTCCAGTTTACAGCCTATTTAATAAAAAATGGAACCGGTTTATTTCTGGATCAGAAAACAAGCATCATTCCAGTTCAGTTGGTTCTTTATCTGTTTCCTTTTTTAGAGGCAGTGAGTTTATACAACTTAACACGGTATGTCGTGCGCAGCTGGTCAGATTTCAGTGGTGCAGGCCTTATTAGAAGAGCTTCCAGGGCAGTTCTTGGCATACATGCGCAGTAGAGACATTAAACCCCTGAATGTTGGCTAGGGCCTAGGCTACAACAGTAGTTTGGAGTTAAAAGGAGTGAAATATTGATGTTATATGCTCTCCTTATACAGGAGCTTTTTGGGAACAAAGGGTGGACAACATTTAACATAGTGGAAGTTCACCCGTTTACATCTTGTGCATGGTGTCAAACCAAGTACTCCGTATTAAACATTATGTCACTCCCACAACTTATTTTATATTAAACTTTATCTAACTTATTTTAGCCATTCGTATGGAAATAATGACATATTTTTAATTAAAATAAAGATGGTGGATAAATATGTGACCTTAAGTGTTGTAACCATAGTAGTATTTTCAGGTATATTTTAGGAGAAAACTATTCTTATATTCTTGTAAAATGAAGAATATAGGGAGGGTGAGGATAAATATATAATCCATGTTTTAATTATAGTTACTATAATGCTTACTCTTAGCAACGGAATACTATTACCCCTCCCCTAAGTGATAAGTATGTTTGGGTAGGGGTGGGACTCTGGAACCCAAAACAGGCAAACGAACTGGGCCGAAATGTTATGACCCTATTTGGTTCGGTTACAACATTAATTAGTTATTTATTAATGGTTTGATTCTTATTTTTCGGTTCATTTCTCGGTTTCTACAAAAAAATATGTATATGGAACCGTTACATAATAATTAAGTTTTTACATACTACGGAGTACTTATTAGTGTGTGTATATTTATTTATATATTAAACTCACTAATTTAGTTTAATAATTAGTTAACTTGATAAGTATTTAACTAATTCTCTTGTACTTGTAGCGAATGTTTTTTGCTTCGTTTACTAAATTATTAATTTGTTATGTGCTTATATTTGGAATTAAACTTTTCTAAATTTGAAATTATATTAATCTTGCATGTAATTGCATTTCTTGTAATTTCACATGTTGAATGTCTTTATGACACAAATTTAGCACTAATTTGTAGGGAATTTTGAAAAAAATTTGAAACCGAAAAATGATTAGAATCAAATTGTTCACGTTTGGTTTGGTTCCATACCAGTCATACAAATAATTTCTAAGAACCAAACTTAGATTAAAAAGTTGAGATTTTAATGGTTCAATGTGTTTTGCCTAAGAACCGAATGGGACCGTGGCCTATGTTTGGGGAGAAGATATATGCGATCTATCCAAATTAGGGGTGGTTTCTTATACTGATTTGGGAGCAACACTGGGTATGACCAGAATTGTGATGGGAGGATATGTGATCAGGAACCGAACCAGAATGGGCAATAGGTTGGTTATCCAAAGACTACACATCCACAGCCCACAGGAAGTTGGTAACGTAGAAGCATAATGGGACTTAACATTCATGAAAAACCTGTGTCCCCATATACATTTAGTTTGTCAGAGTTGCTTTTAGATATCCTTATACGCAACAAGTGAAAGACAAAAACTAGAAACAAGACATAACACCCAATCCATTATCCATATGTGGGCATCGTAAAATTGATTTTGGTTTGAGGTGCACAAATAAATTTGTGCAGAACATAACGGTAAATTATATCCTACAACCGGCTGTACCATGTGCTTGGTACAGTCGGGTATTTTTGTAATATTTTGCTGAATCAAGGGTTATTATTGGGGCAAGCTGTGTTTTCTATTCGATGAAGTTTTGCCGGACATCTTGCTGCGGACATCTTCATCTTGTTGCGACCTTCTTACAGGAGAGTTACGTTGGAGAAGAAGACTGGGGTGATGCGTCTGATAGACCAATTATATATTGATGTACTTCGATTTGGGAATTCTCCTTCTTTCTTGACCACCCCTTAAATTAGGAATTCTTCTGCTTTGTTTGACTATTGCTAGCATCTGGAACCTAGCTGGGAAGAGAAGTGCGTAATTGAGCTGGTTATTCTTGAATAGAAGAAGGGGGGAGATATGTCATTGGCCGATTATGCGTCTTCATCTTCCTGTGGACAGCTTTTGATTTTTTTGGTGTTCTGTAAACACAAGGGTTTGGGCTACGCTAGACATAGGAATTGATTATAAATATAATTTAATGAGTTTTATAAAAGAAAAAATAAGAAAAAGAAAATAAATTACAATATAAGAAGTATGGAGTTGATGTTACAATACTCATTATTTAACTCTTAATGCTCAGTAGAATGCATTTGATGTTCATTAAAAGTTTATTAATGCTCATCTAACGAAAATCGCGATTTTTACTGAAATTACGAAAATGCCACCGTGTTTTCGTAATAACACGGTGCTCATTATTGGATGCTTAATACTCATTAAAAGTGGACTATTGCTCATTAACAATAGACTAATGCTCATTTCGCAGAAATCACGATTTTCACATTAATTACAAAAATGCCACCGAATTATTTTGCTATTTTTCCCTTTGACCTGTTACTGGGCCGGCTGTACGGTGCTCACCGTCCAGCCGGTTGTATAATATACGTACTCGAACATGACAGGGCATCATAAAATTCCTCTTGAAATCTTGATACATGCTTCAAAAATCTAGTGAAAAGGAAAAGTTTTTGTGTGTGAAGTTGTGAACCATAATGTTGGTCATAAAGTGAAAATTATGAGTAAAAGGTGTGCACAGTTCACATCCAAGAAAAAGAATAAATGCAACATATATATCTGATAACTAGAATAGAAGTTATCATTGATAATTTGATAGTCTACAAGTTATAATTGACCATAGGAAATCAACCAAAAACTCAACGGTGTTAAAATAAAAACAATAAAAAAACATTTAAAAGCTATCATCTACCAGGAAAATGTACACCGGTAGAAATTGTGATGGGATATCATTGCTGCATTGGACAATAAACTTGGTATAGGCTTCATAAAACAATTGCAGCACTTATTGGGATGGAGACGAAGTAACTTTGGACATCAATGGAGGGCTGGTAGCAATTGCTCGATGAGTGACAATAGTTTGGCGTGTAGCCCGCTGTGCCTGCTATGGATAATATGGGTGTAGTCCAGGGAAATAATCGAATAACAGTTGGAGGAAGTAACAGTGCACATGTATTTTGATCTGCCAACAGTTGAAGAAGGCAACAAAACCAGGTATGGGTGATACGAGTGGTCACTGAAAAGGGAGAGCAAGCTTACACACTGATAAAGAATAAATTGATAGATGCCACCCGTCCACCACCACTCCGGTCGACGCCCTATATTGCCACACAGAAATTCACCATAATCCCATCTCAAACTCTCCAGCCTCTGTTTATCTCTCTCTTCGCTTATTGGTGTGGACACAGCAGGCAGAAGCACTGACCTGGAACAAAGATCTGAGACCACTAGCTTTGCTTGATGTGAGGGGGACTTGTACTTGTCTGATTAATTCCTACAAAAATAACAAGGATATGCCATAGCACAGACCAATGTTGGTTTGAAGATGCAAAAACAACCCTCTACTAGCAATAAATGAGAATTAGCTAAAAAAATCAATGAAACCATTCATAGATCATATTCATCTGCAATTTGAAAATAACAATACTGCAAAAGTTGAAGTAAGCATACGCAAAATCCATGCACATGATATTGAATGCCTAATTGATATTCACAACATATATATGGTATACAAAGCATACATCAGCGTCGAACATTTCTATAGACAGAACCAATTTTGATTTTAAAAGACATGTTTAATTGTATCAGCGCTGCATATTGAATTATGTGATACCTTAATAGGCAATGTGATTTGTAGAGCTGAAGGGGATTCGTTTCGGCATTGATTTCTGTTTGAACCCTCAGAGAATATAAGCAAGTCTCGACTATTTGTATTTTGTAGCAAGATTCTTCTATAATTATGGTGCCCACACACTTCATTTTTACATATGATACAATCCAGAATTTCTCAAATATTGGTGTTGTAATAAGGAATTAGCTCCTGCCATTAATATGTGACAAAAGATGGGTCATCTTTATCTTACCAGAAACCCAAATATTTAAGAAGAATATGGCTCTTATGAAGCCAGACAATTTCAGCGTTGCCCTTGATCATCCAAAAGAAGCCAGTCTAGTTCATAAAAATATAACTAGAACCGAAGATTATCTCTTTGAGTTCAAGAGAGTTACCCTTGATCGTCAGCAAATATGTAGAAGACCAAAAGTCTTCCGTCAACTTTCTGGATCAAATAATCCAGTTCAAAGGACTTCACTAATCAAAAGGGAGCATCACATATTTGCAACTTTACCATCAATCTCAAGTAGGAGCAATTTAGAGTCATTAAGGGCAATACGGCTGCTTTCACAGACAAGTTTGCCACACGAATCGTGTCTGTGTCCTGGAAATAGTCCTAGTGGTTTTAGTTCCTCCAAGGGATTTCTGATACTTGAAAGATCGTACATTTTTTTAGCAGGTTGAACATAATTCCACCAAAAGTCAGACAGTATTTTTTCCATGTCTTCCCAATACTTTTTATCTCGATACACAATAAAAAGGCTACTCCCTTTGGTAGTCCAGATATATAGGTGCAACCAATCTAGATTCAGAATCTCCATTAAACCTTGTGCTTGAGGGATGTAATAAAGGGGTATTCTACTAAAAGGCCGCGCTACGGACATATCACCACCGAAGTATGGGCACTTTATTTCCAAAACCCCTGAGGAAGGCAAACCATTGCCAAATCCATTAATTACTCCATCAGGGGAAGCTGCAAGCCATTCATCTTCTTCTGGATTAGTGCTTTGACGAACCTGAAAACTAACCATGGATACGTCATAATTTCCAGTGATAAGCTTATAACTCTCAAGAGCTTCTTCCTCCTTAATGTTGCTCCAGCAGGTGGCAAAGTTCCCATAGAATGGTTCAATATGACCAATCTTCTCTTTCCAAAGCTGAACCCTTCGATGGGGCCAAAAACCAATAGCCTGGCTGAAAGTGCTTGCAGTGAGTTTTCCCTTTCTTAAATGTTGCCAATTCTTGAACCGGTTCTGTAAGCTACTTGATTCAACAATAGAACGATAGTTCTCCAAATGATTAACAGAACAGCTAAGTAGTCTTTTACAGTGGTAAGAGTGTGAAGAAGTAATGAACTCCTTCAGGACGTTAAAACATTTGCATTTTGAATAACATACCAATTGAACACCAGCAAAACACATGCACATGCCCTTCCCTGTAACATATGTATACATAAGTTTCATATTGATAATAGGGAATGTAGAAAAGAGTCTTATAAATCATTAACCATGTCACCTTCTACCATTATCTTGCACAAACTTTAAAAACGGCTAGAAGGCACAAACTTTTTTGTTGAAATTTACACACAA